ATTTTCCAAAAATTCCGAGAAGTTAACCTCAAGATTCAGCCCGATAAATCCGAATTCTTGAGTAAGTCAGTAGCGTTTCTAGGCCACGTCATAACACCTGAAGGCATAAAACCAAATCCTTCAAAAATTTCAGCCATTGAAAACTTTCCTATACCCAAGACGGTGAAAGAAATCAAAAGCTTTCTTGGTCTGGTAGGATACTACCGACGTTTCATTCCGAACTTTTCCAAAATCACATACCCCATGACACGCTGCACTAGAAAAGGTACTAAAATCGATATCGAAGATCCCAGATATATTGAATCTTTCGAGAAATGTAAATCCGCTCTCAGTAACTCCCCTATTCTCCAATACCCTGATTTTTCCCTACCATTTACCCTCACTACAGACGCTTCAAACATAGCGATCGGTTCTGTCCTTACACAGAAAGGAAATCCGATAGCCTATTATTCTCGCACCCTAAATTCAGCAGAGAAAAATTATTCTACAATCGAAAAAGAACTTCTTGCCATACTCGATTCCTGCAAAGTATTCCGCCCCTATGTATATGGTGTAAAATTTACTGTGGAAACAGATCACAACCCCTTAGTCTGGTTATACAAAATTAAGGAACCCAATTCTCGTCTTGTCCGATGGAAACTCAAACTTGAGGAGTACAATTTCGAAATTAAATACAAGAAAGGAAAGGAAAACGTCGTCGCCGATGCTTTAAGTCGCATCGAAATAAATATGCACGAATCCGAGTCTCTGTGTGCCAACCCTCCAGATGATGATGACGACTTTGATGTAGATGACTTCGTTAACCAATCTTTCGAAAAAGAAACTGGTCAATCAACCCAACATTCTTCTCATGAAAATCCCGTTGCTCTCGTCCCATTCTCAGAAGAACCTATTAATCATTTTTCAAATCAGATCATAATAAATCTAGGCACCGATTTTAACACAAAACCGTCTGAAGTTCAAGTCCAAACACGAATATCTCATCACTCTTTCCGAAAAAGACTGGAAAACCGACATCAAGACTGCTCTCCATCAAACTATAGCCCCCAATCAACGATACTACATTCTGACTGACAATCCCGATATCCAAAAATATATTTCCGACTTCGTCCGTAATACTTATAACCAAAACATCCAAATATTCTTCTGCACCAAACGAGTTCAAGATGTAGAGAGACCCGAAGACCAATTACGACATCTCCAAAAACCATAAGGAAAATCACAATGGTATTCTCGAAACACTTAGTCATTTAAAATTACACTATTACTGGCCTAATATGCGTTCTACAATTTCAGAGCATATTAACCACTGCGATATTTGTCTTCGTAATAAATACGAGAGACACCCATATAAATTACCCCTAAAAGGTCCACTTCTAGGACAAAAGCCTTTCGACATCCTTCATATTGACACATTTTCCTGTAATCGAGAAACTTTCCTCACAATCATCGACTCTTTTTCCAAGTATGCCCAAGTGTACAGTATACCTGACAAAATGAATACCACAATCCTTAGCAAATTACGTCACTATTTCTCCCACCATAATTATCCTCGAAAAATAGTCTGCGACGAAGGTACCGAATTTTCAAATAACCTCTTCAAAGAATTTTTAAATCTTCACAAAATCGAGCTACACTTTACGACAGTGAACAACCCGAATTCCAATAGTCCTATCGAAAGATTTCACTCTACTTTTACAGAAAAGCTCCGTGTTATGCACGACGAACGCCCCAAAGAATATTTTACTGATCTCGTTACACATTGTGTTTTAATTTACAATCAGTCCATCCATTCCGCCACAGGTTATTCACCTTTTTCTATCTTATATGGCCCATATGCAGAAGAAATACTTTTTGACAATGACTTACCTATCTACGAAAAATATAACCAACGACATAAAGACGAACTTCGACCTTTCATTGACTCTCTTTATCGAAAACTCCACGATAAAGAAACAGCAATTTTAAATAAACGCAATGAAAGACTACCCGAGATCACTCCTGCTCCAGCACCTGGCCAAACCATATATATTCAGAAAAATCCCCGAAATAAATTATCTGCACCTTACGTATCAGCCGAAACTACTTCTAGTAGCAATACCAAAATTCAGGCCGTTACTTCCAAAAATAGACCCACCAATACCCATCCTAGAAAAATCAAACGTCTAAGGAAAATACCCTTGTTACAGGATCGTCATCCTGACGAACCACAACCTGGCCCTTCAAGTGCACCTGATCCCGAATAATGGATACTATCGTGAACTGATAGGCCATGCTCAAGAGTTAAATCACTATCACCGACATATTATTACTGTTAACCTAACTGCTATCGACGCAACGCTTAAAATGACTCTAACTAACTTCCTATTCCTTAACAAGACTCTCACTACTTCCAACTACCGAATATTTGAACAATATAACCATCTCTATTCCGAGACACTTGACAATTTTCATAAAATAATCCGACCCCGTCAAAGGCGAGGAATTGCTAACTTTTTGGGAACTTTTATTAAATCAGTGACTGGCAACCTTGACGAAAACGATCGTATATTTTTGGAAAGGCACATCTTCAGTATCGAAAATAAACAAAATCGTATAATCAATGTGCTTAATAATTCGACAAGTTATGCATCAGAAACAATAAAAAGATATAATATTCTGATTGAAACCATAAATAATAATACAGTGAGAATCACACAAGATATTAATTTTCTTAGAGATGAATTCCAGCAGTTTATTACTCTTCAAAGCGAAATTCGTAATATTGATCGTTTGAATCAATTCATTTTAAAGCTTATTAGAAGTATAAACCTATCTGCACTAGAACAACCGAACATAGAATTATTTTCACTTTCCGAAATCACTGACTTAGAAGAAAAGCTAAAATCTTTATATAAATCAAATTCTCTTTTATCAGATAATTCACATCCCTTTGAACTTATCGAAAATTCACGTTGTTCATTAATTACCACAAATACTCAGTTACTCATCCTTTTCAAAATCCCGATCCTTAATGATCACTCTTTCCGACTTTACCATATTTATCCCATACATAATGAAGAAAACATTGTACTACTGCCTCCTGCAACTTTCTATGGAGATAATCGCTGGTATTCTACATGCACCGATGTAGGACCAAAAATCGTATGTCAACCCGCTTCCACCACAAGATGTCAGCTTCCCAGCTTAGAAAATTGTACCACTGCCAAGCTTTCCCAGCCTGTCATCCACCAAACAAAGAAAAACCTGATCGTCAGTACAAATGAGCCAATCCAAATCGTTGAAAGATGTTCCCAGACTCACCGAAATATTAGTCAAGCAGCAATTGTTTATTCTTCATGCCCAATCGAAATTAATGGACAGATTTACAGCACTACTTCAGAGCAAATCGAAGTTCCTGATATCATCCCTATAAAGATCCGCCCAAAGTTTAACTTACAGATCAACGAGTTGCAGCCACTCAAAGATGTACCACAGCTATCGGCCATACAGCCCTTACATCTAAGCCCTACAGTGACGTCTACAACAACTTGGTCCATGGCAACCCTAATGCTCATCATCGTCACAGCGAGCATTTACTTCGTCTTAAGAAAAAGAAGAAGACTCCAGACGCTTTTCTTCAAGCCGAAAATTTCCATTGCCGACTTGGAAAACCTAAAACTTCAAAAGTCCGAGGACGGACTTTCAGCTTAGCGAGGGAGGCGTTATAGGTCAAGAACCCGAGGCGTCAGCAAGACGACACCGCCAGTCGCAACGACAGCAGAAACCTTTATTAAAACTATTTTTCTTTTTATATTTTAATTCATTATCATTCCAACTTGTAACACGTTCATGTCTACAAAATAAATATTTTTTAAAAACTCCTTGTTGTGGCTGAGAAACATAATTCGCGGCATTATACTGCAAGCGTCTGAGTGTGACTATTGGTTTCTCTTTGTCTATGTGGCTACATTCAGGACCTTGCATGCTATATGATAACTACCTAAGATGGCAGCTTTCTGAAGTGAGAGGTATAGTTTCTGCGGTAGATTTAGTTTCTCAATATATTTATGTAGATTCTTAGGTATTTCTCCTGTGGCTCCGATCACTATTGGGATGACATCAACTTTTTCTTGATATTCAACATAGTTGTCAGGGGTCGTAGCGACAGACAGAACCATAGCGGACTTAATGCGTCCCCTTGGAATATTCCCCTTTCTATTTTAATGGTGCCTGCATCTACACTTTTTTGATTGGTGTTTAAAACAATTCTGGTTTTCCACTGAGACATAGCGTAGTTCAGTAAATTCAGTACATGGGGCTCGACTTTATAAAGCTGTAACACCTCGGTTAGCCAGGAATGAGGCTGGGTATCAAACGCTTTTTGGTAGTCTATATACGCTGTGTGCAAAGAGCCTTTTGAGCGTTTCGCGTGAGATGTGATGACCGTATCTATTATCAATTGTTCTTTACACCCTCTGGATCCTTTTCGGCAACCCTTCTGCTCTTCGTCCAACAGGTTATTTCTTTCCAGGTGGCTGTATATCTTTTCCGATATGATGGACGTGAATATTTTATATATTGTAGGAAGGCAGGTGATCGGCCTATATTTGGAAGGATCTTTTGAGGACACCTTCGTTTTTGGTAACAAATAAGTGATACCACTGGTCATGAATGGTGGTAGTTCTTCAGGGTTGGACAGCAGGTGAGTATAACATTTGGCTAGATGTTGATGACTGACCTTGAATTGTTTATACCAAAAATTTTGTATTTTATCCTGTCCAGGTGCCTTCCAATTCGAGGTCTTGTTTATAGCCTTGGTTACTTGGTCGGTTGTTACTTCCCATTCCAACATAGTCTGGAGGCTAGATGTAGACCTCTTCTCATCAAACAGCCATCTGGTATTGTTGTGAATCACAGGGTTCCCCCAGATTGATTCCCAAAACGTTTTCGTGGCCTCTGGTGTGGGGACCTTATTTTCTTTCAGGGTTTGAGGCTCGTGATCTTCTGACTCTAAATTTTTAAAAGCTCCTTTCACTCCTGCTAAACTGACTATTGTGTTGACGTCTTGTGTTACTTTCCTTATACCGTCGGAGCTTTTTAGCCATAGCCTTGAGCTTTTGCTTAAGGTGATCCAGTATTTCTGTTGCTGTTGGGTTTTCGAGTCTTTGCTCCCTTCCAAGAATGGCCTTGGCTTTCTTAGTGACTGAGCTGCTGGGGTTCAAGCTTTGATTTTGTGTCAGAATTCCTATGTCCCGCCTGATACTATCGATTTTATTAGTAATTCGGCGCTGCCATGCTGGCGTGACTGAGACATTTTTAATTTGTGTGTCCGTGGAGATTTTCTGCTTGTTTAGTGTTAGCACCGTTGCTGCTCCACTATAAATAAGGCTGTGTAGATTTTCGATGGGTATATCAGTTGTTATTTTGGAATCCAGAATTTTGTTGATTTCACTCAATATAGGTTAGTCTTGTTATTATAAATTAGTTTGGAAAGTCTAGGTTCCATCATAGGGTCCACTCCATCATAAAGCAAATGAATCCTTTCGAATTCCAGCTCAGAAGCAGCGGGTGGCCTGTTGGCCTCCGGTACTGGGGCCACTGGTTCATCGTCAGCATTGCGGAGATCAGCAGGTAAATTTATAGATAGTTCTGACGCAACTTCACGCTTTATTTGTGTAATAATATTTGGTGGTAGGCGTCTATTTATAAATATAGATCTTCGCTGGTCTTATGACGAAGCATTGGAAATTTTTCAGTTACCAATCTATTTAGTTCTCGGCTGTATGGAGTTTTGGCGGTTTCTAGTCGGGTTAATCTGTAATAGCGGTTTCTAGTCGGGTTAATCTGTAATAGCAGCGAACCATGAATGCATTGATTTCTTCTGTCCACATTGTTCTTTGCCTAACTGTGCCTTGTGACGTGGTGGGCATGGGCTCTGATGGCCCAGCAACACCGACATCTTGGCTTGGTACGATTGGTGGTGGTGTACTCGACTGGGTTGGTAATCTGGTTGGTCCTTGTTCACTGCCGCGGTAGGTTGCAGGTAAATCTTCAAGACGGTTCCGACCCGGCTCCTACTGCGCCGGCCCGCCTGAGTATCTCTTATTTCTTGTTTTAAGAGCATTCAAATATACACGTTCTAGGGTGCTAACCCATAGAGCGGTGGTGCTAGTTTTTGTCCACCCCGGGTATTTTATTTCCCCGGTACTCTCCATATCTGGAGAGCGTTTCCCAATTCGCACAGGGAGGCGCCCATGGGAGACTAGCAACTCCACACGGGTTATTATTATTATATTATATATAATTATTATTATTATTATTATTATTATTATTATTATTTTATTATTATTATTATTATATATTATAACTATTATATTATTATATTATATTATTATTTTTTTTTTGATCATTATGGTTATTAGCCGATATAATTGTTTTATTATATTTTATTTATTTTTTTTTTTAACCCACAGTGGCATCGACAGCTATGGTCATTAGCCACTTCCCTCCTGCCTCATGAGGTCATTAAGTTGAACCTAGCATCTCAGGGATAGATCTGAGAGTTGGATAATATATAGAACGCACACAATCACATACAGTATAAATAATTCATTGCATCATCCCATTTACTTAATTCAAGTATGGAGGTAAAACTGAGTGTTTACCATAGGTAAATTACTACAGCATTGAGTTTTGTCCTGTTCCTAGTAAAATATTGGTGTGCCAGACAGAATTCAGGTAGTTGTGTTAATAATGCATTCTATATAGGATTCATTGTTGTCTTGATACACATATACCCACATATAACGTACATATTTTCGAGATATTTATGTTGGAGCTAATATTTTAAGATTTTTATATTGGAAGATTTTTTTGTTTAGATTTTGTGTAGCATATTTGTCGATTTCATGAAGTTCAGTAAGTTGTTTTATGTTTCTGTCGTTTAAAAGCATTCTTTCAGGTTTCTGGTATAAAACATTCTAGGCGCTTAGAGTTAAATTTGGACATTCCAGGATGATGTGTCTACGGTAAGAGTGCAGTGGCATTCATCGCATAGTATTGGGCTTCGCCCTAGGAGAAGATTGATGAGTTAGGTGAGTATGTCCCAATCTTTATTCTTGTAAGACAAACTGTTCTCGTCTAGTTAGGCCTGTCGGATAGTTCCATTTCTCGATTGTAGGTTGTAGTATCCTCAACGACTTATACGTTGGCTCCACTGATTTTGCCAACGTTGATGTATCTGGAGCTTGAAATGGGCTTTTAGGGTCTTCAGGAAGTACGGTGCTGACGGGGGTTCCATTTTGGGTCGCGTCACGAGCTGCTGCATCTGCTAGTTCGTTGCCAGGAATATTTACATGCCCTGGAGTCCAAATAAATACGACTGTGTTCGAATTATCCGTTAGTTTATGACACCGATTAATCACCTGCTGGACGAGGGGATTCTTAGCTTGTTGATTTCGTATAGATTGAAGGGCGGTCATTGAATCTGTACATATGAGGTATGTACTACACCGGGTTGTTTTGTCAAGCAAGTATTTAAGAGCTGCCGAGATGGCATACAATTCGGCTGTATATACGGAAGTAATAGGATTTAGACTATACTTAAAGGTTTCTGTTAGGGTGGTGAAAGCTGATCCTACGCCACTTCATTTTTCGCTCCGTCTGTGTAGATGACTTCAGGTGTATTATATCTACTTATTATTTCATTGAATTTATGTAGATAAACATATCCCGATGTTATGTTTTTTTGGATAAATAGCGCAGTCTAGTACAATATTTCGTCCTGGTGTCGATCCATGGTGGAGTTTCACTTGGTTTCTTAGTGTATATGTCAGGGATAACAGCGCCAAGGTCGTTTATAAATCTCTGATAGTCTGACTCCGAATGGTCTTGTAATAGTAGGTCGGTTGTCGTATTCTTCACTGCTATCATTGTTGAAAATGATATCGTGGTTTGGGTGAGAGGGTTGAGCCCATATGTTAATTCCATAGTTAAGCATTAACTGCGATATGCGTAAATCAAGCGGTGGAGTATTCGCATCGCAATATATCGAGCTGGATGGACTAGTACGAAACGCACCTAAGCACAGTCTTAATCCTTCACGATGGATGACTTCTAGGGTACGTATATGCGATCTTCTGGCAGCGGCAAAAGCTACAATACCATATTCCATTTTGACATTACCAGCGATTGTATAGCGTCAGTAGGACATCTCTGTCCGCGCCCCATTTTATGCTGGAGACGCATTTTATTACGTTAAGGGCTTTTCTTGCATCTAACAGCTAATGACTCGATTTGTGGTTTCCACGTAAGTTTACGATCAAAGATTACTCCTAGGATCCGGTGAGTTTCTTTGACTTGGATTAAGTTTCCTCCAAGGTTAATGCAGGTTCCCTATGTGCTGTTCTTAGCCGACAAAAATGATTACTGTAGTTTTTGATCTAGAAAAGTTAAGACCATTTCTTTTAGCAGTTTCAACCAGGTTGTCGATGGTCTCTTGAAGTTTACCTTCCATCGTGACCATTTCTTTTTGCCGAGTAATATATGGTTAAATCATCCACATACATACATTTTCCAATGGATTCATCGATGCACTGGAGTAAGTTGTTGGCAATGATTACAAACAGATTACGCTGAGGGTGGAGCCCTGAGGTATTCCGGTTTCTGGAGGTACGTATGAGATACTTTGTCCCCCAGCCTTACCTTGAACGACCGGCTTGCAAGGAAGCTTGCAATGAATGTGGGCAGCCGTCCCCGAATTCCCCATTGATGGAGAGTTGATAGGACTCCATATCCCCAGGCGGTATCATATGCCTTTTCTAGGTCAAAAGAGATAGCAATCAGATGGCTCCTGTTGGCAAAAACTGTTCTGTATGGCTGTTTCCAAGTGGATAAGGTGGTCTACGGATGATCTGTGCTGCCTGAACCTGTCTGAGAATTTATTAGCAGGTTTCGTGTCTCCAGTAACCACATTAATCTTCGACTTATCATTTTTTCTAGGATTTTGCTCAGACAACAGTCAGGGATATTGGTCTGTAGCTCTCAGGCTTTGTTGAATCTTTGTCTGCTTTAGGAATAGGTATCACTATTGATTCTCTCCACTGATCTGGGTAAGTACCAGTTTGCCATATTTTATTAAACATTTCTAATATTGCTTGTTTTTCTGTTACAGGTAGGTTGCGTATCATGCAATAGTGGACGGAGTCCGGGCCAGCGGAAGAGTCGTTAGTCTCTTGAAGAGCATTTTCGAATTCGGTAAGAGTGAAATTGTTGTTATATTCCGATATGTTAGATTCACTAAAGTCAAGTGCATTGCTTTCAATTTCTAGCTTCCTTTGATAGGCCCCAAGGCTTAGGTTGTCATTGAACATATCTCTTCAAAGTGCATGCCTAGCGTGTTGGCTATCTCTGTAGCGCCCGTAACTTCTCTTCCTCCTACTCGTAACACTGGGGAAGGTGTGGCGAAGTGTTTGCCGGATATGGTTCTGATTTCTTCCATACATCTGAGCTTGGGGTCTCTGAAGTGATGTCAGATACATATTTTTGCCAAGAATTTCTTTGGCCTGCTAACATCAATCTCGTGCTCTAGCTCTGGCTTGTTTGAATTTCATCATATTTGCCAGAGTTGGGTTTTCTTTTGAAGACATTGTAGTTATGCTTTTTGCCTTTAATGGCTTCTTCAATTTGTTGATCCCACCAGGGTACTATAGGTTTACCAGGTTGTATGTTTGCTTTAGGGATGCTTTCGGAAGCAGCATTCAATATACTGTCAGTAACGTTGCTGACGGTTTCAGATATTGAATCACCTATTCGCATTGGAGTCAAATGTTCTCGAAATTTCTCCCAATTTGCCTTTTTAACATTCCACCCTTTCTGCAAGTGGGACACTTGTATTTTGTACGGCACAGTTAAGTAGTATTGGGAGATGGTCAGATGAGTGATCATCTAAAACTTCCCAATCAAAGAGATATGATACACTTGGGCTACAAAGTGCCAAGTCTATCGCACTGTAGTTGCACGACCTAGAGTTAAGAAATGTTCCTTCGCCTTTATTCAGCACCATTAAATTTGCTTCGTTAATTATATCTTCCACTATCCTCCCTCTGGTGTCCAGTTTTTGTGAGCCCCAAAGAGGGTTATGCGAGTTAAAATCTCCTACTAAGAGAAAGGGTTTGGGAAGCTGTTCACATATGCTTTTCAATTGATTATATTCCCAGTTTTGATTGGGTAGGTATATGTTGCATATGGTCAATTTTATAGGTACTATTAGTTGAACAGCACAACCTGAAGCTCGGATGTGATGTTGACCCTCTATAAAGGGGATATTTACATCCAGAAATATTGCCACGCCGCCCTTGGCACGGATTTGCGGCGTATCATCCTTTCTTACACATTTGAAACCCACGTAGCTGAAATTTCGTGGTTGGAGAGAAATGGGTCTCTTGAAGACAGAGACAAAAGGGCTTTTCTCCTGCATGAGTAGTTTCAGTTCTGGATAGTGATTAACACAACCCATTAATATTCCACTGGACGATGGAGTGCATGAGTAGAGTAGATTTATTTATACATGCAAGGTTCAGGAGAGATTAAGGATATTTACATATGTATATAGATGATGAGAGATAAATAAGCAAATAGGTGAGGGACTAAATAAATAAATAAATATATATAAATAGACAAATAAATAAGTAAATAAATTAATGAATAAACAAGTAATAAATTGAAAAGTACATTATAAGTTTATCAAAATATCACAGTTAATTTTATCACAGAAGTATCACAGTCTCCGACAACTGCTCAGTTTCGGAGTTCTGTGATTGGGACGCTCTGTATCATCACTCTGAACGGGTTGTTCCGACTGAAACAGTGCGGTTTTTATTTGTTTTACGAGGTCTGGCCTTTTTTCCAGCCTCGTGTACCCTTTTTTGCTTCTGGATCGTCAGTCTGAGACGAGGTGAGACTTTCATCAGAAAGTTCCGATCCATCTACAGGAGATGTAGCTTTTTCTTTTAGACGAGTTAGAAGCATCTGATTGACTTCTAGTTCTAGACGCAATCCCATGACTTATCTTTGGCAATGGAGCGACAAATTGCTGGGGTGTGCTGCTGCATACTGCTTTGTTTCTATGGCTTGCGAGATCGACGTTCTAATTATAGCTGTTAGACGTGGTATAATCTTCTCTATTATTTCATCGTCTGGGCGCTTCTGAGATGCTTGTGCATATGATAAATTTGCTTGCGGGGTAGGGATTACTACCTTCCTTCTAGCTTCAGCAATAACTCATTTCTCGGTAGTAATAACTTTCTGTATAGCTGATTCTGTCTTATACCTTGGACATAATTTGGAGTTTGCTGCGTGAGGACCATTGCAGTTCACACACTTTATGGGCTGATCACAAGATTTTTCCAGTGTGTATTTTCTTACCGCAAATGCAGATTTGTTCCTCTTGGCATGATATCGAGGTATGGCCGTACCGTTGACATTTGAAACAGCGTACAGGGGGTGGGATATATTGACGAACAGGTAGTTTGTACATCGCGCAACTAAGTCTCTGTGGTATGTTCGGAGAATTGAATGTAATTATGTGGCCTGGAGTGTCTTGTAGTTCATTATCCTTCTTTACTTTTATACGTTGTACCTTTATTACTCCTTCAGATTTTAGCTCATCCATAATTTCAGCTTCGGAACAGTTTAATAAATCCCTGCAGTAGATTACGCCTCTGCTAGAATTCAGAGAGGCATGTGGTTCAACGGTAACAGGAAAACTAGCAAAACTTTCTACCTTCAACAATCGATATGTTTGACCATCTGTTCTTGTTTCAACTAGCAGCCCAGCTTTAATTTTCTTCACAGAATTGGATTCTCCAATCAAGCCGCATAACGTCTTTGATATCAGAAATGGACTTACTTTCATGAAATTATCGCCATCTATTCTCTTTATTACCAGGAATCGGGGGGTAGGACCAGCCGACCCCTTGGTAATATTACTGTGTCCAGTGGTAGCTCTGCATGTAGCTCCACCTTCGCTGTTTTGCCTACATTTGAGGAGGTAGGCGCACCTTTTGTTTTTACTTTGTCTCCCATAGTATTGTGTTTGTCTTCACCTCCCGGCTCCCACCCTCCACGGAGCCTCAATGGGAGGTTATGCCATAATCGCCTTCCGCTAGGACATAACCCCAGGGATACCGTTAATCCTAAGAAAGGAGGTATAGTCCCCACAGGTAGCTCCACCATACATCGAGCATAGCGAACTATTCCCGTCTGGCTTCTACTACCTGTGGAGGCTCGCCCAACCAGCCCTCTGACGGGATGGCACAGCCGATTGACCGACGCTGGGCTAGGCGCGGCCGCCCTTCTAGACTGACCGCCGGACCAAAGTGGCGTGTTGCCCCCCTGACTGGTAGGGCTCAACCACCAGGATTCCATTGGCCAGCTTACGGGTCGCCGGGCACGGCACAAACACCCGGGAGGCTAAGAGGAAGCCCCACGCGCCGCCTCAACGCATGGAGTAAGGAAAGGACAAGGAAAATCGGGAGGGCAGCGGACAGCTGCACAGGATATAATGAAAGGAGAAGGATGGGGAGAAAGGGGGAAGGAAAAGCCCAAGGTTTGGCAGAATGAATAAGACTACCAAACCCCGAACTCCCTGCCTGGGGCCGTGGGGGCGACGCTCCCCATGTATCTTCCCTTGAACCGGATCAAAGATCCAGCTTCAAAGTAGATACCCCCTGCGGGGTTATATTATTATTATTATTATTATTATTATTATTATTATTATATTATATTATTATTATTATTATTATATTATTATTATATTTTATATTATTATTATTATTATTATTATTATTATATTTATTATATTATTATTATTAAATATTATTATTATATTATTATTATGATTATTATTATTATTATTATTATTATTATTATTATTATTATCTTATTATTATTATATTATTATATTATTTATTATTATTATTATTAGATTCTTACTTATTATTATTATTATTATGATTATTATTATTCTTTTATTATTATTCTTATTATTATTATTATTATTATTATTATTTATTCTTATATTCTTCTATCTTCTTATTCTTCTATTTATTCTTCTATCTTCTTCTTATTATATATTATTATTATTATTATATTATTAATTCTTATTCTTCTTCTTCGTCTTATTCTTATTCTACTTATTCTTCTATTATTATTCTCTTCTTCTCTTCTTCTTCTTCTTCTTCTTCTTCTTCTTCTTCTTATGATCTGATTCTTATTCTTATTCTTCTTCTTCTTCTCTTCTTCTTATTATTCCTTCTTCTCTTATGCTTCTTGTCTTCTTCTTCTTCTTCTTCTTCTTATTCTTCTTATTCATTCTTATTTCTTCTTATTTATTATCTTCTTTCTTCTTCTTCTTCTTCTTCTTCTTCTTATATTCTTCTGATTCTTCTTCTTCTTATTCTTCTTCTTCGTCTTCGTCTTTTCTTCTCTCTTCTTCTTCGGCTTCCTTTCTTATCTTCTTCTTCTTCTTATTCTGCTTCTTCTTCTCTTATCTTCTTCTTCTTCTCTTCTTCTGCTTCTTTTCTTCTTCTTCGTCTTCGCTTCTTCTTCTTCCTTCTTCCTTCTTCTCTTCGATCTTCGCTCTTCTTCTTCCTTCTTCTCTTCTTCTGTCTTCTTTTCTTCTTCTTCTTGTCTTCTTCTTCTTCTTATTCTTCTTCTTCTTCTTCTTCTTCTTCTCTTCTTCTTCTTCTTATTCTTCTTTCTTCTTCTTCTTCTTCTTCTCTTCTCTTCTCTTCTTCATTCTTCTTCTTCTCTTTCTTCTTCTTCTTCTCTCTTCTTCTTCTTCTTTTCGTCTTCTTCTTCTGCTTCATCTCTTATTCTTCTTACTTTTCTTCTTTTTTGTTCTTTTTTTTTTTTTTTTTTTTTATTTTTTTTTTTTTTCCCCCCCCCGTGGCCTCGCCAGCTCTGGTCCATTCGCCCCTTCCTCCTGCCTCATGCGGTCCTTCCGTTGCCCCTCGCCTCTCCGGGCTCGCTCTGCCGCGTTGGCTCTCTCTCGCCCGCCCCCCCTCCCCTCCTCTCCTCCTTCCTTGCCTCCTCCCCTTTCCTTCCTTCCCGTCTGGCGGTCCCCTGCGTGTTGTCCCCTCGGTCCCTTCCTCCCGCCTTGCTTTGTCCCTGTTCCTAGTAAAATATTTGGTGTGCCAGACAGAATTCAGGTAAGTTGTGTTAATAATGCATTCTTATCTAGGATTCATTGTTTTCTTGATACACATATACATATTTTTTTCGCGATATTTATGTTGGAGCTAATATTTTAAGATTTTTATATTGGAGATTTTTTGTTTAGATTTTGTGTAGCATATTTTGTCGATTTCATGAAGTTCAGTACAGTTGTTTATGTTTCTGTCGTTTGAAAAGCATTCTTTCAGGTGTCTTGGTATAAAACATTCTAGGCGCTTAGAGTTAAATTTTGACATTCCAGGATGATGTGTTCTACGGTAAGAGTGCAGTGGCATTCATCGCATAGTATTTGGGCTTCGCCCTAGGAGAAGATGTGATGAAGTTAGGTGAGTATGTCCAATCTTTATTCTTGTAAGACAAACTTGTTCTCGTCTAGTTAGGCCTGTCGGATATTTCCATTTCTCGATTGTAGGTTGTAGTATCCTCAAACGACTTATACTTTGGCTCCACTGATTTTGCCAACGTTGATGTATCTGGAGCTTGAAATGGGCTTTTAGGTCTTCAGGAAGTACGGTGCTGACGGGGGTTCCATTTTGGGTCGCGTCACGAGCTGCTGCATCTGCTAGTTCGTTGCCAGGAATATTTACATGCCCTGGAGTCCAAATAAATACGACTGTGTTCGAATTATGCGTTAGTTTATGGCACCGATTAATCACCTGCTGGACGAGGGGATTCTTAGCTTGTTGATTTCGTATAGATTGAAGGGCGGTCATTGAATCTGTACATATGAGGTATGTACTACACCGGGTTGTTTTGTCAAGCAAGTATTTAAGAGCTGCCGAGATGGCATACAATTCGGCTGTATATACGGAAGTAATAGGATTTAGACTATACTTAAAGGTTTCTGTTAGGGTGGTGAAAGCTGATCCTACGCCACTTTCATTTTTCGCTCCGTCTGTGTAGATGACTTCAGGTGTATTATATCTACTTATTATTTCATTGAATTTATTTAGATAAACATATCCCGATGTTATGTTTTTTGGATAAATAGCGCAGTCTAGTACAATATTCGTCCTGGTGTCGATCCATGGTGGAGTTTCACTTGGTTTCTTAGTGTATATGTCAGGGATAACAGCGCCAAGGTCGTTTATAATCTCTGATAGTCTGACTCCGAATGGTCTTGTAATAGTAGGTCGGTTGTCGTATTCTTCACTGCTATCATTGTTGAAAATGATATCGTGGTTTGGGTGAGAGGGTTGAGCCCATATGTTAATTCCATAGTTAAGCATTAACTGCGATATGCGTAAATCAAGCGGTGGAGTATTCGCATCGCAATATATCGAGCTGGATGGACTAGTGCGAAACGCACCTAAGCACAGTCTTAATCCTTCACGATGGATGACTTCTAGGGTACGTATATGCGATCTTCTGGCAGCGGCAAAAGCTACAATACCATATTCCATTTTTGACATTACCAGCGATTTGTATAGCGTCAGTAGGACATCTCTGTCCGCGCCCCATTTTATGCTGGAGACGCATTTTATTACGTTAAGGGCTTTCTTGCATCTAACAGCTAATGACTCGATTTGTGGTTTCCACGTAAGTTTACGATCAAAGATTACTCCTAGGATCCGGTGAGTTTCTTTGACTTGGATTAAGTTTCCTTCCAAGGTTAATGCAGGTTCCCTATGTGCTGTTCTTAGCCGACAAAATGGATTACTGTAGTTTTTGATCTAGAAAAGTTAAGACCATTTCTTTTAGCAGTTTCAACCAGGTTGTCGATGGTCTCTTGAAGTTTACTTCCATCGTGACCATTTCTTTTGCCGAGTAATATATCGTTAAATCATCCACATACATACATTTTCCAATGGATTCATCGATGCACTGGAGTAAGTTGTTGGCAATTATTACAAACAAGATTACGCTGAGGGTGGAGCCCTGAGGTATTCCGTTTTCTTGGAGGTACGTATGAGATACTTTGTCCCCCAGCCTTACCTTGAACGACCGGCTTGCAAGGAAGCTTGCAATGAATGTGGGCAGCCGTCCCCGAATTCCCCATTGATGGAGAGTTGATAGGACTCCATATCCCCAGGCGGTATCGTATGCCTTTTCTAGGTCAAAAGAGATAGCAATCAGATGGCTCCTGTTGGCAAAACTGTTCTGTATGGCTGTTTCCAAGTGGATAAGGTGGTCTACGGATGATCTGTGCTGCCTGAAACCTGTCTGAGAATTTATTAGCAGGTTTCGTGTCTCCAGTAACCACATTAATCTTCGACTTATCATTTTTTCTAGGATTTTGCTCAGACAA